ACAGAAACTGCTCGAGAAGATTTACGGGTATTTGGAAACAGTGTCACTATTACAGATTTTGTAAACCAGAAAGCCCTGAAAATTCATTATTAAACTGTAATATGCCCTTACTCATTATGTATATCAGCCAAAGCTCTTTTAGAAAACAAATGATTTGTTTTCAGTGTCGGTCAATAGTTGTCATCTGTAGAAAGGCTTAAGATGACTTGAATGAGTTTCAATTTGATCTTTACTTAATGGTCATACCTGATTACGTTTATAATATATATTTTGTGTTGAAGTCGACAGGGTGTGGGCTCAGTGCATTGATTTTTATGTTCACATATTCTTTTCGCAGGAAGACGAGTGGTACGATAGATGTGATTGGTGGAGGAACGGCCACCATCAGCAGGGTTGAAGGCCGACGTAGACACAACCTGGAAGGCAACAATATCCAGGTACACAGAGGCACCGCAGACACTCATTAAAAACAAATGTTCTTTATAATTGTATTTTTGTGGTGAATAAACTACAGTTGAAAGGATCTGCGCTGTGAGTGAGTGTTGACATCCGGTCTGCTGTTTGCAGGTGATCTCTGAAAGTACAGACTCTGAGCCGACTCAGCCGGCTAAGATCCCCCCGTTCTTCCCCCCCGGGGGCCTTCCACCCAACATACCTCCTCCTCCATTCCTCCCTCCACCACCAAACGTCAACTCTGCACCCCCACTCATCCCCCCACCCAGTAAGTTTTTATCAGCTAGTCTTTTGGTGTTTTTATTTATTTCAAGCACACATCTCACCTTACACTATATTTGCTTTTTTATTATTTATTTGAGTGTTTATTCTCTCCTTCTTCCTCCCTCCTAGGGTTGCCCATTAATGTCCCTCCTCCTGGTTTTCCTCCTCCCCCCAGTGGGCCCCCTCCTACAATCATCCCCACTCTGGACAGGTAACACACAAGTACACACCAACACACGCACATTGGAAATAACTCGGCTCTTCTCCAAACAGAGGCTGCAGATTAAGAACATGTTTGTCCTGCTGCATGAATGTAATGATTTATTAAATGATACAGTAAAAAGGAGCTGCGGCGCAAACGGGTTGTTTAGGAATCACTCGTATGAAGGTTTTCATGAATGCAGAATGACCCAACCACAATAAACATGATTTTAAATGCAGGTTTAAACTACACACTGGTTGGACATTGTTTTATTATACATTTTTAATTATGTTTTAGGTATTATCCTGTCATCCTATAAATATTTAGTTTTATAGGATGACGGTATACAGAAATCTCCACAGTGGCAGGAAACGGGCGCTGCTCTGAGACGCATGTTGTCTGTGCAGCCTCCGAGACACATTCTCCACCAAAATACCAACGACATGCTTTTGACTTCATCCTGTGTCACAACAAAAATAGGGCTATGATCAAAGGACAAGAGCACACACACACACACACACACACACACACACACACACACACTCTGTAACATGATGGCTCTCCTCTGTCTCCACAGTCACTCTGGAGGTTATGACGGACGCTCTGTCCCTCCCTACCCGTTCCCTCAAGGTAGGAAGCTTTAGAGTGTTATCCGTCTGTGATTGCCGACTAGATTTCAGTCTCATTTCCAGGGAACGTTTGAAGTAATAACCAAGACTTCGGCTCCCCTCCTCTTTACCTTTTCAGGTGCGTACCCTCCACCCATGGCTGGAAATGTGCCTCCTCCTTGGCCCCCCATGATGGACAACTCCAAGCCCTGGGACTACTATCCCCGTCGAGAAGACAAGAGAGAGAAGGAGAGAGAGCGGCCCCGAGAGAGGACACATGAGCGGGAGAGAGAGAGGGAGCACAGCCCGTCAGCTATGGGCTACACCAGGTGAGAGGGACAGGGGAAAACAAACACAGATTTATCTCTACAGGTCTAGCTATTTGAATCAGAAATGAAAGAAATTGAGTTTATCGTGTCGCCTTAATATCTGCTTATTTGAACCTTGGACATGCTCTTTTCTTGTATGTATATTTTGTAACATCTACTATAGTGACGGATGGCCTGAATTGTGGAGAAAGTGTTAGTTTCATCACACTGTGAGATGTATAGATTTTAAAATAAGTAAAAAGAGATCACTGATATCAGAGTGGTATTCGGTAATGGCAGATATCCGGAGTTTAGGTATCAAAAAATGTATCATCGGACTATATTTTTTATAGCTTTGATTCATTTATGCTATCTGATCACAGAACAGTTAATTTGTTCATTAACTGCAACATCAAAAAGCATATTTGAGTCAGAGAATGGGAATGTTTTGTATGTATGCAAACACAACACAGTAAAGTGAAAGCTCTTGTTCTTTCTATGTCCATAGCGAAGAGGAGCGGTATCGTTACCGTGAGTACCAGGAGCGCGGTTATGCAGGAGAGCGACATCGTGAGCGCTCGAGCCGAGAGAAAGAGGAGGGGCGCCACAGAGAGAGGCGGCACCGAGAGAAAGAGGAGGGGCGCCACAAGTCCTCTCGCAGGTGCGTAAATACACAAACCGCCTCTCTTAGAAAATAAAATAGTGGTTGTCAAATCATAGTTTTGCAACTGTAACAACCATGATGTTTCTTATTTCTTTGGACATGACACCATGTGTGTAGCCACTAAGTGTCATATCTATTCCCTCCTTATATTATCCTAGATCTTTCATATGCCGGCGACTTGTACGCCTAGCCTACAACGGCAGGCTTCTCATTTGTATTCGGTCACTTTTTGACTGCTTTTGTCAACCTCCAAAATAAATAAAAAACCCATTCTTGCAAAAAAAATTCTAAAAGGAATTTGTGTTTAGCAAATGGTCAATTGTGGTTCTCTCAAGTTATATTTTCTATCTCAATCCTGGCTCCCCACAATGAAATGTACATTATCAGCTGCGTTATTGACGTTTAAAATGTGCACTCCGCTCATGGAAACCTCTGCTGCCATTGAGACATTTGTATTTCCCTTCCGGGGAGCCGTCTGACAGGAAAAAGAACTACATTCTTGAAGTATGCAAATATTTGCACACTAGTAGGAAACATGGAAATGAAAGCCGTGTTCGGTTAAAATCGATATGAAAGAGAAAACATTTTAATCTTGATCCTGTTGGCGATAACATTGCAGCCCTGGGTTAGACCTTTTGTTATTTACCTAACGCCACCTGTGTCCCTTTTTGTCCGTCTCCATTTCACTTCGCCTTTTCTTTCCTTCCCTCATTGATCTTCTTGTCTCAATGTATCCCTCGCTCATGCCTAACCTTTTATCTCTCTCTCTCCCTATTGTCTTCCCTCCCTGCCCTTTACTCTCCCTCTGATCTGTTTCCTCTACCCTCCCTCACCTCCTCTGCCCTTTTCCACCCTTCGGTCCTTCTCCTTGGATTAGCAGCAGTAGCAGGAGGAGGCACGACAGCGAGGAGGGCGACAGCCACCGGAGGCACAAACACAAGAAGAGCAAGAGGAGCAAGGAGGGCAAAGACGCCGGCGAGGAGATCACCGCAGACCAAGAGAACCAGCCGGGCATGGAGTAGTGATCCCCTCCTCCTCCCGTCTCCCTCTCTCCCTCCGTCTGTCTGTCTCCTGTCCCGTCTCTCCGGTTGCGTCTTCCCACCAAGAGGAAAAAGGAGAGGATGAGCACAGACCAACAAAACCAGGGAGTGGTGATTGATGCGTCCTGTCACTTCCCTCTCCATCAATCTCAATTCCCCCGCTTCCTGCTGTCGGTCACCTCACCATCACTTCAGGCAGAGAATGGATGGAGCGGAGAGGTGGTGAAGGAAGCATGGTCGTCCTTTTTACATCCGTCTTTCCATCACCAGCCCACCCAATACGGCATCAATGTGTCTCCATCCCCCTCGGAGCACTGCTATGACTGATAGGTCATGCTCAGAGACCTCCGTGTATCGTCAGGACGACCATCAGATTTAGCTCTTCTTTCTTTTCTCTGTTTGTTTGTTTGTTTTTGTCCCGTATGAAGACCTCTATAGAGAGCTGTCACTTTGTTAAGTTCAATTAAAAAAAACTTTTGATAAGATGCTGTTTTGTGACTTTTTTTTTAAGTTCAATAAACCCAATTCAAATTGTTCCAGTAGTGATTTATATACAACTGTAACTGTAAGGAAGACGAGCTGTAAAAGACACTTTTTTCCAAGTGTGAATATTCACAAATAAATTGGGTTGCAATTATGTAAGATTAGAAAAGAGTAGATGTCATTTACTAAATACTCAAAGCAGGCTATTTTCATATGTAATAAAAAATGTCTGCAAAAGATCTTTAACATACTATTATATATATTTTTCGAATTTAGCTTCAAATGTGTCAAATCAGAAACCAGCTGCTATAAAAGTGATTTAATTAAGGAAAGGAAAGTATGTTTTCCACACGTTAAAGATTCTTCGGTACCACTTTACAATAAGACTACCCTTATAAAGGATTCATTAAGGGTTTATAATTAGGTTGTAAACACTTTATTAATCATTAAGAACCAGTTCTAAAATAGTTTTCATACATCAACACAGGCTCACTATTTGGCAAGATGACTAAGCCTTATATTGGCTACTTAGCGAGAATCAACTTGAACAACAGATACCAAGGATGCTGGCTGATGAAGAAGATGAAGTAAGCTAAGTAGCCAATATAAGACTTAGCAGTACAGATACATGTGGGCTCATTTGGCAAGCAATCGGTCACAGTTGCCCTGTTTATCTCATGTCTTATAAAAGCTTATTAATGATTTATAAAGTGTTCACAACCTAATTAACAAAACATTTGAAACTATTCGTAAACCCTTTTATAAGGGTAGTCTTATTGTAAAGTGGTACCGATTCTTCTGTAAATGTTCACATTAAAGCAGTTTACTGTGTATTTTGTGCCATTTCAACACATTCTTAAACGCTCACAGTTCTCTGTTGGGATCAAAGCACAGCCGGGTTACCAGGCGGTGAGGACAAAGTTCAAGTAAACTACAAATTAATGTTTGATTTAAAAATATTGAAGCTAAAGCATTTACTGGGGGGATCTGGACTCACGACCCCTCTATTTCTCTTAGCTACAGCTCATAGTATTACAATGATTTGTTTTTTATGTCTTTTCAATCAAGTGTGTCGGAGAGACAGCTGCGTCTCTTCCAGCCTTCCTTTATATTAACGGTTAGTGGAGATCAGGAACCACTGAGCAGAGAGAGAACAAAAGTGAATCAAAAGTAACCAAAGCCTGTGCAGGAGCAGTGGGCGACTGAAAACTTAAACAAAAATGGCTCTTAATCTCAACACAGAATAAATATTGTTACATTAAATATAAAATGTGAGGAAATACTGCTGGTATTGCTACTTTTTGCTCTTTATCTAATATGAACCGGCTTTTTTTTTTTTTAAATGAATAACATGAACCCTGGAGGTGCGAGGAACAGCTTAAAACAAGTTTGGATTTACTCTTTGAGCCTCTGCTTGCTGTTATGTGATGGGATTTAAATTCTATAACAGGTCAAAAGTCTCCTCTCCCACTGTCCCCTGGGCTGTTTGCTTACATCAGTTCACAAGAAGTGGAGATACATCCAGGGGGGAGACTATAAAGAGAGCAGAGCTGAGAGTGTAAGACGAGGCGCAAAAGGAAAACTTTAGATCAAGAACAAACGAGCCATGTTGAGGATGAAGTGTGTTTCTGTCGCTGTCCTGCTGAGTCTTCTCTCTCTGGGAGACTCTGCTCCTCTGAGCAGCTGTGAGAGTCTGCTGAAACCCATAACTATCAGCAATGAAAATGTAAGTGCACTTCTACTTTGCTTATAGGTTTCATCAGATAATATTAGACAACGATACACATGATCCACATTCTCATAGCTTAACAACCTCTGACTTCATGTTTGAACGGTAATATGTTTTTAGTGATGGAAAACTGGAAGCATAACTTACCTGTGTTTCTTTTTCAAAAATGTCCCAAATTGGGATCAATAAAGTTCTATCTTATCTCTTATCTTGTCTTTTTATGCCATTTTGTGAGAAACAAAATCAATTTAAATTCTGTAACTACATCACAAAAAAAGATACACTAATTTGGTGTCAAAGATTGTTCACTTTAAAACTGTTCAACCACAATCTATATCCTCAATATCCTCAGTTTCCCAATACATTCATAGGAAGTGTCCTGGAAAGAATCATGCAATAGGGTACAAAGTAAAAGAAAACAGAAGTGTCCTTTGAAGAAAACTAGGATCTGTATGTTATGCTGGTCTGTTCTAAAATCTTAAATTTTTGCATTATCAGCTGACCTGCTGCTCAATGACTAAAAGTCACTTTGTAATTATGTAAACACTGTTTCTAATTTCCATGTTATTACTCTATGAATGTTCTTTTCAGAAAAGGATTTGTACATTTTTAGGAAATGTTTCCGACCCGACCTTGAATGTGGACTTGTGATACAAAGCTTTTCCAAACATAAATATTGCATCATTTTGTTCAATAGTTTCAAGAGCATTGTGGGATCTCCAAATGTTTATCTAAAGTTATATTTCACACAATATATCAAACAAAGATATCTCTCCCTTGAGCCCTTAAAAAGTCCCGTCTCTAAATGCTGACTATTCACGACATGTCTTGTGCATCTTTCGTTTTCTTTAGATTATGGGAAAGTGGCTGTACGTCGGGGGGAGTTCGGACCTCCCTGGAAGTCGCTCTCTGGGTCGTCTGTTGTCCAGTGTCTGGCTGGACATCACTGCAACCTCTCAGAGCAACATCCTCAACATCATTCAGACTCAAAGAATGTAAATCCCCACACGGCTGAAGTGTCTTTTGAGAAGTTAGTCCTCTCCAACCTATAGGCTTCCCTCAGGGGTTTATAAAGATACATTCTTGTTATTGACGTAGTTTTGCTTTTGCCACATGGTAGTATTGACAATGTTCAAGTAATAGACACTCAAACGTGCTTCATTGTCAGTTTGCAGACCTTCAGTTTTTTTTGTAACATGTCTGTTTAGCATTTTAATTATATTATGTTTGGAGAGTAACAAAGGTGTTCATGGTCTATAACACATCACAGTCAAGTTTGATTTACGGTAACTCTTGGGTTGATGTTTTTGGCTTTTTCAAAGTTTTTGGTCACTTGAGGGCAGCTGTTACACAACATGTACATATTATCAGCTTAATAAGTTGTTATACATGTCATGGATAGCCTTCATTAGGGTAGTAGAGTAACTTACTAAAGTCTCCGTCATAATATGTTGTTATGATTCAGCCTTTATTTTCCTTTTTTGCAGATATGGAAAATGTTGCAGCTTAGTATTCAATGTGACCTTTGAAAACAGCACGATGGTAATTGGTGAGTGAAGAAGAGCCATAAAGTTTCAGAGATATTATTTAAAGTAAAAACCTTCATTCAAACATGCACATTACCTTTTAATGTATGTGTCCGTTTGTGGGTGTGTGGTTTCTTTCTCTCCAGAACAACCTTTCTACCTGAATGAGGTCTACCTGCCGACTGACTGCTCCGACTGTCTGGTTGTATATGAAGAAGTTAGCTCTGGCAGAGACACTTTCACCAGTCTCATGCTTTTTAGTAAGAATCTCACTTATCATGTCCTGAAACACTAGAGTGACTCTTATTGGACACGGTAAAGCAGCTGACTTGTTTTCTAATGAAATGTTCTTTATTTGCAGGCAAGAGACAGAGTGTCTCACCTGATTTTGTGGAGATGTTTAAGGCACAAGCAGAATGTCTAGAGATGCCGTCGCCCATAATGATAGACACAGATTACGGTGAGAATTGTAACTTTTTATCTCCACACAGTGCCTGCATAATGCCATAGTTGTTTGTTTTGTGACTTGATGTTTATCTACACAGAAATCTGCCCAGACAACATTGCGCCCTCAGAGGGGATCAGCGCCCTCAACTCCTTATTAGAGGCAAAGATTGGACATCGGGTTGCAAAACTCCTGGATGCTTTTTTTGATGCGTTTGTGAACTGATTTTGAATTAGCTTTGTATGAGAAAGTATATATTTTCTTTCCTGATATAGACAAGTATTTCATAAGAATTGAATAAAGTAAGATGGAGGAACTGCCCTGCTTTCTTCTTATTTGTTTGACAGCAACACTAACAATACGACACAATAAGAAAACTATCACACTTAATATTCTACTTGAAAGTAGTCGTGAATATTTTATTCATTTTCTTTAAAGTACAGTAAGTTCTGCATGAAAAACAAATCAAATGGAATTGCATTATTTAAAAATCAGTTAATCAGAGTTAGGCCAGAGATATTGATTAAATGATTGTGTACGGTAACAATGAAACTGCGACTTCAAGTAGTTTAGATTAAAGGTCAACTTTTTTTCCAAGTGAAATATTAACATTAAGTCCCAATAGAAAGTAAAACTCAGTCATTCACGTTGTAGACATGTAGACTCCTCAAAATAAAAAACAAACATTCGGCTCTAGATAGAAAATGGCATTTTTTACTCAGTCACAGATCTGCTATGGGACTGTGCCAGTAGGGGTCACTCCAGCTCCTAATGTCAAACTGAAGCTAACTGCTGATGGATAACAACAACTCAACTCAAATTAGATGAAAGAGTTACATACTGTGACTATTTAGCTCTTTAAACATGGTGAGTGAATGCATTACCAGCAAAACAACATTAAACACTGCCAACAACACACACACACCAGTTTATATGACCCTTTGAGGAACACAAAGGAAATACACTGCTGCTATTTCTAGTTTCAGTAATTATTTGTCTTTGTTAGAGTAAGCACAGGGCATATTCCATTAACCCTAACTTATCAAATGTTTGGATGCCCAACAGACATATTTCACCTCATCCATCTCTCCACCAGATTGCAACACGTGTAAACAACTCCTGACTCCACCTGGAATGGGCGTCTAAACCATAGGCAAGGCAAGTTTATTTATATAGCACTTTTCAACACAAGGCAATTCAAAGTGCTTTACAAAAAATGAAAGACATTAAGAAAATGGCATTTAAAATCAGTCATTAAAAAGAAAAGTTAATAAAATAAACATTAAAAGACAAAATACATGGATACAAATTACAGTGCAGTCTAAGATATGAATAGTTCAATTAAAAGCAGCGGCAAAAAGAAAAGTCTTCAGCCTGGATTTAAAAGTAGTCAGAGTTGCAGCGGACCTGCAGGTTTCTGGGAGTTTGTTCCAGATATTTGGAGCATAATAACTGAACGCTGCTTTACCATGTTTAGTTCTGACTCTGGGGACAGAAAGCTGACCAGTCCCTGAAGACCTGAGAGATCTGGATGGTTCATAATTTAGCAGGAGGTCAGAAATGTATTTTGGGCCTCAACCATTCAAAGCGTTATAAACCAGCAGCAGTATTTTGAAATCTATTCTTTGACACACAGGAAGCCAGTGTAAAGACTTCAGAACAGGAGTGATGTGATCCACTTTCTTAGTGTTAGTGAGGACTCGAGCAGCGGCGTTCTGAATCAGCTGCAGCTTTCTAATAGATTTTTTAGTGAGACCTGTGAAGACACCATTGCAGTAGTCGAGTCTACTGAAGATAAAAGCATGGACAAGTTTTTCCAAATCCTGCTGTGACATTAGTCTTTTAATCCTAGATATATTTTTTAGGTGATAGTAGGCTGATTTAGTAACTGTTTTAATGTGACTGTTGAAACTCAGGTCAGAGTCCTCATGACTACACCTAGATTTCTGGCTTTATCTGTTGTTTTGAACATTGCAGACTGAAGCTCAGCGCTAACTTTTATACATTCTGCCTTGGCTCCAAAAACCATTACCTCAGTTTTATCTTTGTTTAATTGGAGAAAGTTCTGACACATCCAGTCATTGATTTGTTCAATGCACTTACTCAGTGTTTGAATTGGAGCATAGTCTCGTGGTGAAATTGTTACGTAAATGTGTGTGTCATCTGCATAGCTATGGTAACTTATTTTGTTGTTCTTCATTATCTGAGCCAGTGGTAGCATGTAGATGTTAAAGAGAAGAGGCCCCAAGATGGAGCCTTGAGGTACCCCACATGTCATATTTGTCAACTCAGATGTGTATTAGACTGTATTTATAAAGGTTTCAGCTTGAAGCAGACACAAACAGCCTCAAGCTACGACCAGGATCTTTGTTTGATAGATTTGGTTAGACATGATGAAATGTGTCCATGTTGCTGTGGCTGTGCTCAGTCTTCTGTCTGCTGGACAGTCAGCTCCCGTGAGCAGCTGTGAGACTCTCATCCATCCGATTGAAGTCAATGGAAGAGAGCAGGTAAGACAATTTCTAGACACTCTATCACTTTCTTTATGTTACAGCTTTTTTTTAATTAGTGCTTTAATGTAACTATTTCTCATCTTATGGGACAAACTGTCTGTTTTAGTTGCTGGGAAAATGGACGGCCATTGCAGAAGGCACAGACGTCCCTTCAGCCAAATTGCTGACCAATTTGTTCATGGCGAGCGTGAGGCTGGACATCACTGCTGCTAATGAGAGTGATGCCATCAATGTGATGTCAACAAATGTAACTTAAAGCCTAATTTTATTTAAGATCATTTTGGAGCCAAATAAAGAGACTAAACATTCAGTGTGTAATTTCAAATGTCTGTTTATTGAAAGACTTGGCCGCTGCTACACTTTCACAACTCAGATGATCTTGGTGAACAGCACTCTCCCTTTGGGTGAGTAGTATTAAATGTTTTGACTGAACCTGCACAAACACATTTGGACTTTGTGTCCAACATTGCCACATCACTTTGTGTATTTATTGATGTGTTTCTTATGTATCCCCAGCACAACCTTTCCCTCGTTCTGTTGTCAGTCTGAGGACTGGATACCCTGACTGTCTCATTGCCTCCTCGAAGTTCACTATTGGAGGACAAACATACAGAGCACTCCAGCTTCTGAGTATGATTCAAGACACACTGAAAAATAAATGTTTTACTTTCAAAATCATTATACAGATATTTTTAGGTAGGGACAATTGTTTAACTCACCACCATTAACTATGGAATTTAAGTACTGACCATGTAACCACTTAAAGGGCCAGAGGCATGATAAAGTTATTAAAAAGCAATGCTTAGTTAATCCAGATTACACTTGGAGTTCAACAGAATACATACTGTATATGTGCACTGCTGTGACTGGCCCGCCTGCATTGACTAATGCATGAGATACCAATACTTGTAATTCTTGAACGTTCATTATATTTCTTGAAATACTACATGAATTAATTAATGTATTTTTCGCGTGTGAATTAAGTTAAGCAAGAATTCATTACAATTAATGTGACCTTACCAAAAAGAGTTATCAAAATGTATATCTGTGTTTTAATCATAACAAATTGATGTTATTGTAAATGACATTTAGTCAACTGACCCTGAGTAGTACTGTGCGCTCCTTTACATACAGTTCTGTCTCTCAGGCAGGAGGAATACTGTGACTGCTGATGAGCTGAAAGAGTTTATGAGGCAGGCAGAGTGTTTGAACTTACCATCACCCACCATCCTGGACCAAGAGACCGGTATGAACTGTCACACATGTTATCTGGCTTTGAAGCCATTTGTCTTTATTCAACAGTGTGTACTCTGCGGTTGTGCATATGCTTTGTTTCTTAGTTTATATTGTATCTGTGATCATTACACCTGTACTTTTCAATAGTCATACGAACCGGAGCCTTTATTTGTAAAGCCGCTGCAGCAATATTTCACAAGTGGTGTAACTATGCACAAACATAACAAAGTACAGCCAGTATTCAAATACATGTTGTCAAATTAACTAAAACAAACAGGGAAACAAACAGCAGCTACAGTTACATTTATATTAGATCTCATTATTTCACACAAACTTACTATTTTAAAATGACTTAAATATGAGACAGCACAGCATGGACAGTGACACACACAAGTCAATCAATTTTTTGTCTCCTTTTATCCATGGTTAATAAACCATGACATTATCTCTTCCCTGGAATACATGTAATACATTCTAAATTGTCTTCCTCACAGGTTTTTGCCCAGATGACTCTCCCTCCATAGAAGCAGCGACCACACATCTAATCAATTCCATGAATGACATGGGCTCTGAAGTTTCCAAAACATTGGAAAGTATTATGAACAGTGATGCAGATCTTCAGAATATTCTCAACACAAAAAGAAGCAGCGTAGCTGGATTAAAAGAAAACTAACATCCTCAGAAATGTCATGCCATGCATACACGATGAAGAGGCCATCTAAAGAGATGTCAATAAAATGATGATGAAAGAATATGAAGTATGATAGTAGTTTTCTTCTGTCTTTTATACATTTCAGTCATTTATTTATTAAGATTGTTACTTTTTTGAGTAAGTACTTCACAATATTAAGATTTGATTTAGGATCTACAAATTGTTACCAATATTTGAGCTAAGTCAAGACAATCAATCAGGTTAACATTGTAAACATGTTAGACCCACAATTCAGGTGACTTTCAAAAACAACCTGCTCAAAACAGGCGAGTCAGCTAATTTAACATTATTGCACAAACAGATCATAACAAAATAATGACAACTTAATTCACAACTTTACATATAATTAGTAAAGAGAAAAGAAAAATATAAAAGAAAATACAAAAAGATAATTAAAAGGCCAAGCATTTCATGTGCTGTTGCAAAGACTGTTTAATAATCAAACTGTGGTATCATAGTGGAATACAACTTTGGTGAAGCCTCTCAGCACACACACTTAATATCATAAGCCAGAGTCTATATTTCAATCTCAAAACGTTTTGTCATGTGGGCAGCAATAACGTGGAGTAGGAAAAGTGGTAAAGACCATCAGTCAAACCCAGATTTTTAAGGCACACAGAAATCTGAATGTTGGAAATGATGAACTTGATTAATACCAGTTTACTGTGGGGCACGTGGATTTTTTGGTCAATCCAAAGTCGACTTCTATACCTTTAAACTCTTACCCCCTTTTTTGGAGCCATAGCAAACATTTAAACAGGTCAGTTAGGTAACATATTAATGAAACATGCTGTGCAAATTTGACGGACAATACAACTTTGTGCCTAGAAATGCAACACCACTTTGTGTGTGTGTGTGC